GGAGGCCCTGCCATTTACTGATTAAAGGTGAGAGTTAGGTGGGAGGGATAAACGATTGCTCTCTTTGAGGGAAATTAACAAAATGTATTCATTCCGAATCAATACGATACTGCTATCTGCTGTCTGGAATCTCGGACAGACTCCCAGAGATCACGGGTGGGAGGGAGGTGGGTTACATCCACTTCAGTAATGCTGCGGAGGCTGAAACGGCTGCAGCTCCCACAGCAGCAAGCTTCTCCACTCCTGGGACCATGGGGTGCACTGCGGATGGGTCGTTCCAACATAATCCACACGTCCTCACATCCTTGCAGAAAGGCTATAGAGCAAGGAGTCATTTCCCGTGCTCAGAGGCATTATCCCACTGACAGGAAAAGTACGTATATGTGAGTGCTATGAGGGACAGAGGCTCTGTGGCCCAATTATTCACTTCAGTTGCTTTTCTTCCAAGAAAATACAGAAAAGAGGAAGCCAAGAGAGTTCAGCGCCATGCATCCATGAAGATGAAATGTCATTACAACTCTACAGCACATACAATTATATACTATTCCTTAAATAATAGAGAAAAAATGTGACCATATCACTGGGCGAAGTAATGATTAAATGTCTACCTCTGTACAGTTTTTTTCAGGATATATATAAAATGTCTTTTTTTTCTTTAATAGAAAATCTTCTTGTATTATTTGTCTTTAAGATCATCAACAGGTAGACATCACTTTCCCGTGATGTGAGTATTTATTGGAATGTAAGTTATGCCTGTTATAGTCTCAAACCTCAAAACTTTGGTAGAAATTGACACATGTAAAGTTTATAAGTTTCTGAAAGGAATACTCTGGCTTTACAATATCTCTTTAGCTCCTGATTCAATCGACTCTGCGTTCCTGCCCTCTGCTACCTAGACCTGCTCTCTTGAGTGGAGCTAACATGCTTAGGGCATGTTCACAGATCCCTCCCCTTTCAGTTGTTACATATCTGATGGCATTAAAATTGTCCTGATTATGGATATTTTAGTCATTTTTAAATCAAAATGCTCTGATTTTGTAAATAATAAAGGTTACTTGTAGAATGCATGTAAATGCACATAGAATAGAACCAATTAAAAACCATTATGCCAAATCTAACCCTCAAAATTGAATTAAATTGAATAAACACGAAATACTGATGCCACCGTGACAACTAGTGTCCTCATAACTACATGATCTGAATATTCTTTATCCTCTTATTCTGAAGACAAAGTATGTACATTGCTTTACATTTTCATCAAACTCTAACTCAGGAAATTGAGTTTTGATCTTTGTAGTATTACTATGCAGGTGGAGAAGATGCACATGTTTTGGAAAACTATGTATTACCTACATATCAAAAATTATAAAACATAAATGGGAAAAGCCACCACCAAGGGATCCAATAAGGAAATGATTTGAGGCTGGACTGCCAAGCAGCTGGCTCTTACCTCTGAAGTTGTTGAGCATGTCTAGGACTCCAGTTATGCTCCATGAAGGGAGCTCCAGGTTCACTGGCTGGGGCTTTTGCATCTGTGCCAAATCAGCCCTGCAAAAAAATGGTCTCAGTTATATTTCCAGGTCCAAAGCTAATCACACAGTCATACAAAGATATCATATTTTCATATAAGATGTTTCCTCAGAATTCTGCCAGTTTTGGTTAACTGCATGTGCATTTTATTCCACACTCTAGGGGCCATACAAATGTTACTTTTTCTGAATTTTCTTGCATAAAAACCCAATTTCCCCAGATATGTTGTTTTCAGACATTACACAACTTCTAAACTCATTAAAAGACATTGCATCCCTCTGCCCATCACACCCCCTGAGGGTATGCAAAAATCCTGGAAATATTTCAGAGAGCAAAAATCTCAGACAAAAGTCTTTGGGACCTCAGCCTGTAGCTGTCACTAACGCTAGTCAGCGTCTAACATAGAATATGCACTGAGACAAAAAGCTTTAATCTTTTGAGCAAAACAAAGGAGTCTAATTCCAGCCTGAGAACACTGATGCTGAGGGTCCTAAGGCAACCATTTTCCTGAGGTCTTTCCTAGAACTGGGTATATTGTGATGGAGCAAGTCCTGGTCATTGATGCTTCTAGGAACAAAACCTTCCTCCTCAGCCCACCCAGAGGGAATCTCTCTCCTCCCTCTGTCTTTTTTTTTTTTAACCTCCCACTCTCTACAGTAGAAGACAACACTATGATTCTGCAGAGTAATTTTGTATTAAGATCTGTGGAGTGAGGCTGGTAAGGATGGATGGACTGGGAAGAACAAACTTCAGAATGGCAAACTGTTTTTACATATATTTGAATTCATACAAATTTTAAGATGAAAACTTTCCAGACCTAAGAGAAGAAGACCTCAGGCCCTCTTTTGAAACAAAAATGGAAATAGCCACTCAGAATGATATTAGTACCTCAAAATGTATACATCCCCTTCATTCACAAGAGAATGAACTTTTCAGAAATAGCATTTTTTTTAGTGTGAACTCACCTTGCCGATACATTTCTCATATCCTGCAAAATAATAAAAGATAATGTTAATTGTGAGAGATTTTTCCTTCTGCATCTTTTCTCATACTCTTGTTTCTTTCTGTTTTACTGTTTTAAAAATGTCAATCTTTTTATTCCCCTCTAAGGAATCATTCTAGGCTACGTTAATAACAGAACCTCAACTAAATATGAAAAGCTTCATCAGTGGGCATGAAGAAGAAAGGAGCTGAGCAAGAGATGGTGGAGTAAAGCAAAGATATCTAGGTTTCCAGTGTCATTAATTTCCTAATCATATTTCCAAGGAAAGGTCTGACCACTCATGACAACTATTAAAACAAAACAGAACCATATGAGAAACGGAGTACACGGACATTGATGAGCAGCTTTTACAAACCTCACCCAGACAAGGGGAAAACCCTCAACATCTTCAGCAAATCACTGTTGTATGGGACATCAGAGAGTGAGGAGGAACTAGGGCATATAAATGGAGTATTACTAACCTTCCCCTAGCCTCAAGTTCTAATGATTTTAGATGATCTCACTGTGTGGATAGTACTCCAAATTATATTGAAGAGAATTTTGTTATATGTGATCTGCTAAAATGGTAAAAATTTCTCAAAGATTACCAAAGTATGCAGTAATAAGTGACTGGACAGATGTAATGTAATGGTGGGAGTCAGACAGCATGTGTCACTTAGCTTAGAGCAGTGACATATGCAGGTGACATGTACATGTCCTGGCAGCAATGTCCAGTAAGGGTTTCCTGTCTCTGAAGATGGACCCTCCCTCCTCACCTGGAGCAGGTCCACGTCAGGCATGTGGCACATCTCCCACAGCTCTCTGTACATGTCTTTCATCCTTTCTAAATGTTGGGTCATTCTCACTTGACTGTCTTGTAGTTGTTGGAAAAGCTCTTTTGCTTCTCTTTCCAGTGCCTGCAGATGCAGTTGCTCCTCCTCATCGAGAAGTAGATGCATCTTTTGATATTGAATAGTGATTATCACCTTCCTTAAAGAGACATAGTCCTGCAGAGATGTTTGGTTAAAAGAATTACATGTTCTCACTCTCAATAGAAAACTTCAAATAATGATATGCTGGGTGAAATCAAACAATTTGTAAACTTTCTGCTTCACTCTTGCAAAGAGTCTTGAATATTTGGTGTTGTTTTCTGTCCATCTTTTTCAATATTCCTATTCTCTCTCCGCTTTTAAATCAAAACTTATATAAAGACTTCTGGTTTCTGTCACTGTGATGCTTCTTTACAGTTCTTACTGAGTCCATTATTTCCTCTATTTATTTCTCTTTTAGGATTTTTCCATATGTGATTCGCCTAAATGTTAAAGAACATTTAGCCATACAACATATTATGCTTTTTTTCTTTTTTACTTTTACTATAATTTAACTCTATATACTCTTCTATTTCTGTCCTCTTCCTCACACCCAGTCTTAGTGAAATGTTGTCTCATCTGCAGTGTCTGAAAAGGTTTATACCAACCTTCAAATTTGACTACAATACATATCATGCCATTTATCCAGTATACTAGAATTAATTTGGCTAGCTTGTGTGGGCTGCTCTCTTTGCGATTCCTATTATATCAATTGAAATCACTACATTTTCTTGGGATGAAATCACTATCTTTTAACTGGTAGTTGGAATTTAGCTAAAAAGTATAAGCCAACATTATGTTTATTTGCATAAAAATAAAGGAAATACCTTCATTCTTACCACTAACGAATGAAATTTGCTAGTTTCCTGATTTAGATTATTTTGTGTCTCTTGATTGGTTTTCCATAAATAGTCCATTTCTTTTGTAAGTTTCTCCTGCAAAAGAAGCAAGAAGCTTAGCAATAATGAAGACAGTATACTAGATTTCATTCCCTTATCAATTAAATAAAAAGGCTGTAATTGAAAGAAACATAAATTCAAGTTAGAGTGGAGTGGTCAGATTTTACCATGTTAAACAAATTTGGTTCTAATAATTTAGATTTGAAAAGTCATAGAAATATAATAGAGAGTTTTAAGGGACCCTTCAGATAATATCATCAATTTTCTGAGAAACTGGCTTTTATATAACATGACTTTGAAAAGTGTTCTTGGTGCTGGTCACCTGTTCCACAGCTCCATTCTATACATTCGAACAATGTTTCTAAAGAAACCTCCCTTAGTGAAGTGTCAACACAGCTATGATTAGAGTGCCAAATTAGTCAGCAACATTGAAAGGATACATTTATGTGTTATGATTGACATGGAATAATCACCACCTCCACCATCTGCATTCTCATCACCATCATTGTCATAGGCCCTCATCATTCTTATTTGGGATTATATACATATCAAACTGCCTTAGAGGCATCACATACCCTGCATTCCTCAGCAGCCCATCCTATTGGACTGTGGCTGTGAGCCATGTGCTCTGGTGACTCAGAGCAGGGCCCACAGAGCAATCTCTTGTCAACCTCACAGAAGAGCTCCTTAGTCTCCTCATGGAGCACACAGATATTGTGTGAGTTGTTGATGTTCTGAGGTCTGGTCTGTCTGGCTAGGGAAGCCAGTTTTTTGAGTGCCGCATTGGTGTTGAAGTCGGACTTCGCTGAGATTTTTCTGCACTCAGGGCAGCTCATTGGTGCTCTGCCTTCTTCCCAGCAGAGGCAGAGGCAGGGCCTGCAAAAGCTGTGCCCACAGTCAGATGGGTGACCGGGTCTTGAAGTAGTTCATGCAAATGGAGCAAATGAGCTCATTCTGGAAGGCTTGCAGGGTGTCTGAATCCATATCTCTGAAAATGAAGAAAAAGGTGAGAATTTCTTTTTCTTATTTTTATTTGCCCTGACAAAGGAAAAAAGGAGTGCTTTATTTATGCCATCTCGTAAACTCCCGCTAAAAGTGTGTGATCGCTCCGATTACTCTTTCACCCACACTAGTGCTCGGCGGGTTTCTATATGCCACTGCGGTTCTTGCCTCCCTGCCTCTGGCCTCAGCTGCCTCTCTCCGCTCTGCCTAAACCCCACATCCCCTTCCTCGAATTTCATCTGGGGTTGAAAGTCTTTCATTCTTAAAACCCACACAGCATTCTCTTCAGAAAGCCTCCCCAGGGCCTGGGCACAGTGGCTCATGCCTGTAATCCCACCTTCGGGAGTCTGAGGCAGGCAGTTGCTGTCGAGGCAGGAGTTCAAGACCAGCCTGGGCAACATGGTAAACTCCTGTCTCTGCTAGAAATTATAAAGAATTAGGCAGGCGTCCGCGTTGCCTACATGCCTGATCGTCCCAGCCGTCATGGCAGAGCTGCAAGCACAAAGAATTGGCCTTGAACCTGGGAGGCGGAGGTTGCAGCGGTCGTGCAGGATTCGTACAACTGGACTCCAGCCGGGCAATGCGGAGTGAGACTCTTATCAGAAATCCAACCTCAATTAAATAAAAATTTAACACGAGAAAGAGCCTCCCCTGTCCACAACCGCCTGCCATTGCATCCCTCCTGGCCTGCATCAAAGGTTCTCATTAGTTCACCTCGTCTGACTGCCTAAATAAGCCGAGGATCTGCGCTGAGCGCGCACGGGGTACTGTATCCACCACGTCTATTCCTCTTTCATCTGATCGTCTTTTTGCCCGACTCGCTTTACGGTCAGACATAAGCGCCTGAAATATTGGCTCCGGTTTTAGGGACAGACTGATTGTTACCTGGTGCGCCGAGCGCGAGGACTGGTGGGTTTGTTGTCGTGGCTGATCTGGTTGGGAAGTTGCTCTTCCTTCAGCATCTGCGTGGGTTGTCTCCAGCGCCCTGCAGAGCCACCCTGTGTGACTCATGCTCCGGTCGTTTTGTCCATTTTTTCCTTGCTGCTTGTTTTTTTGAGGAGCTCGAGTTGCATGTCACTCAGAACAAGGAGGGGATCAGGGATTAGTCTCATTAAACCATTTATCCAACCAAGCCAGGTTGCTTTTGGAGAGTAGTAAGGTTCAGTGTTCCTATCCCCTAAAGTTCACTGTGGAGCTTGTCAGGGGCAGCTTCTTGGGCATAAACAGTGGCTTGTTGTCGCTATAGTTCTTTTCAGCTCTGAGAGTTATTTAGTGAGCATTTATTAGACCTGCTCTGTGGTCCAGGTTCTGACACAGGTACAAAGTCCTGCGGAAAGGAGAAAGGCCCAGGGAAGGATGGACTAGAGCGTCTCGACCACATCACAGGTGTGGGGAACATTTGGGACGCAGGCGCTGAGTAGAATGTCCCCAAACGCAAGGGTTCCCCACAGAAGGATCCTGTGTTGGCAGGATATGGGTTCGGCACTGGTCCCGCCTGCCATGTTCTCCAGTTGGCTGGGGACGCAGCCGGAGCAGCCATAATGGCCTCTGTGCCCTGCTCCCATAGCAGGGTTCTTTTCCAGGGTGACTTGAAAGGCACATTTCCCATTGGCTGCCACACAGGCGACTTAGGAAAGCATTGCCCCTCCACCCGCACCCTTCCCAGAGTGCTCCCCAGGAATATCTCAGGGGCTCTGTGGGTCACTTCTAGCACGTAGTAGGCTGGACTCCAACTCTGTGGTCCCTTCTAGCAGTGGTTAGAGCTGGGCTCAATCGATCCCTCTGATTTAATAAAACCCCTGTTTATTAACCCAAGCCATGCTGCATTCAGGATCCCTTCCTAGCTCCCTGAACAGCTCCAGACACGCACACTTACCTCTGTCGATTTCCAGCGTGGCAACTGAGTGTACCAGGAGCAGTAGGCCTCTTCAGTGCCAGCTATGTGCCATCACTGATTTATGGGTTATGTTCAAGGGATAGAACTATGATTGTGACACGTCTATCGGTTCTGAGGGTACCGTTTACACTTCTTTTTTTTTTTTTTTTTTTTTGAACGCATGCGCGGCAGGTCTGCACCTGTCGCGGTGGGGTGCAGTTGGCGCTGGATCTCTGTACTGCAGCTGCTGCCTCCCGTGTTCACGCCCTTCTCCTGCCTTCTCGCTTCTCCGAGTAGGCTGCGACGTACACGCGCTGTGCCCCGCGCCGGTAATTTCTTGTATTGGGAGTGGTTTCCCGTGTCATGTCAGTGTTTATTCTGATCTGTGTTTTTGTTGTGCTCCTTGTATGATGCACGGCCCCTCCAATGTTTTATGTGCTTGGTGCGTGGGTTGTATTCAAGGGTGTGGACAGCCACCTCAGCCCGCCCTATTTCATGTAGGTATCACTTAATTGTTTTTTGAGACAGGTTTACACTTATCCCCCAGGGCTAGATCACCCGTAGCCGTCCGGCGCCACAGCGCCAGCCCCAACCCACCCCCCCCTCAGCGGCGTACTCCATGCTGCCTTGGCTCAGTGATCCTCGCCGCCTCTAGCGCCTGCCGCTACGTAGCTAGGACTGCAGGGCGCCCACCACCACACCTGGATAATGTTTTTATTTTGTAGGGCAAGTCGTTGTTGCCAGGCTGTCACGTTCGAAGCTATAGGCGCCCGAAGTGCTCCGCCGCTCCAGGACCATAGACGTTCTATAAGTTCTGTGATTCAGGTGTTGGTGCCACCTCCTCGGCTGGTTTACTTTAATTACTAGTACTTCTGAGGCAGGGCCCCAAGACTTCTTACTAAGGGAAGGGAACAACTTTACTAATGCACGTTCTCTTTTTTGTTTTTTTTTTTTTTTGAGACGGTATCTCACTCTGTCATCCAGGCTGCAGTGCAATGGCTTGGTATTGGCTCACTGCAACCTCTGCCTCTCGAGTTCAAGCAATTCTCCTGCCTCAGCCTCCCGAGTAGCTGGGATTACAGGCACCCGCCACTAAGCCCAGCTAATTTTTGTACTTTTAGTAGAGACGGGG